AAGAACATTCAAGCAGCACTCAGACAGGCCCTGTCAGACAAGGATTCAAACAAGGAACCTCCTTGCCACAAGACACAAACGCTAACCACTGCACCACCGTGCAGCCCATCTGGGTTTTCCAACCCTGCTAAATATAGAATCCTAAGTAGCTGAATCTCTGTTAAAGATAATGCAACAAACTTTCCATTTGCAAATCTATAAATGAAATGTCCTCTGGCCTTCAAAAACACATGACTGTTCATCTTACTTAACTTAACTTACTGCATTGGCTGTTCATTTTTCTTACTACAAGCAATCCAGGCCTTATAAGATATTCATCATACTTGTCAGGTAAATGTGGCTTAATAAGAATAATGACATCATTTGGATTTGGATTTTAAAATAGACAAATACTTTGGCAAAAGATTTTGGTTTTTGCAGTGTAGACTTCTCAGTGTTTATATCATCTTTTAATCTTTATTGTCTTTGTCCCTTTTTTTCTTGTAATGTTATTTCACACAAAATAAGAGTTGTAGTTATTGGGCTTTATTTCCTGGTGAGTTTGTATATTCTTGAGTGTATTTTGCTGCCTCACATGTGCATGTGTCCGGTCAGCAGCAGAGTGTCTTCAGCCGTCTGCTCCATGTTGTACCAAACATTGTTCAGCTCTCTGAATATCTGGATGTCGGCCTCTCTGTAACTCACTGCTGCTTTAAAGTACCATTTCCCCAGGTACTAAAACAGACGGCGAAAAAGAGAGATAGAATATAACAGTGTGGTGTCACCAACGGCAAAAGAATGGAACTTATTTTTAGATAAACCCACAACATGCTGCAGAGACCACTGATGGAAAGTGCAGAGGGAGTGGAATGTATATCTGTTCAATTTATCTCAACCAACCCCCGCAGCCAGACCGGTGCATGACTTAAACTAACACACAACACACTTAACCAGAGGATATATATCAAGATGTACATAAAATTAGCTACAATGCGAGTATCATAAATCATTAAATTTGTCAGAAAATATCAATTCACAAAGAAATTCATCCAAAACAACGTGACAACAAAACCAAAATAACAGTAAAATACTCATAATTATTTCCATAAAATGCTTTGGAAATGTGGGAGGGCTAAAAGCTCAGAAAAAGAGCAGGGAACAATGGCTTGATGCAGAAAATTATAGAAAGAACATAAAAAGGCTAACGCTTTGTTCCACATATCTGCACCTCAAGAGCTTCAGCTTGAAGACAACCTGAAAACACTCTGAATAAGGGTCCAGTTCCAACATGTCGGTTTTAAAGAGAGTGGGGGTGGGTGAATTATTAACATGGTTTGCTGCAACACCCCTGATATGGAAGAGGTCATAAATGGTTGAAATATGGGGAGGCTTTGTTTTAGATGAAAAAACTAAGCTGGGATAAACACATTTACAATAAAATGACTCATCCTTTCACACACCAAGCCTTACTCAGTCATGTTGAAAAAAGGAGAAACTCACCAAAAGCCCTCTCTATGAGGCTTACTGAGTCATCATCATGTAGGAGGTAGCAGTTTCTTTTAAACCACTTCAACCAAGCAGAAGTTAATTATGGAAAGTGTTTTCAGTATTTGCATGTCAACCAACAAGCTGCAACCCCCCACTGCACATGTTAAAGTTCAGTTAGTCCCGAATGAAGAAGTCCGACTCACTCTCTGTAAACACACATTGAATCATTAACTTGGAGTTGACTGGATTTCTTTTTATTAAAGGTTCTATATGTAACTTTTTACATGTATATATTGGTTTTTTTCGCCCATTAATAAGCGAACGGTTAACTGATGTGAAAAAGTAGATGTTCACTGTCTATCGTTTGTAGGATGGAGAATGAATCTAATATGGAATCTGTTAGTAAAATAAACGACCGGTGTTGTGAATTTTTCTGTTGGTGATAAAAGATCTCAAGTCAAAGTCATTTGTCTTTTTGTATTTTGTTGCATATAGTAAGAGTTCTTTTGCAAAAGGGGTAATCAGCTACAAAAGTAACATCAGTCACAAGTGCATCAAAGATTCCTGGAGCAGTCCCGGTTGCAGAGCATATTTCAATCATAGCACAATGTCATAAAAACACTAACATAGGATGGAATAACAGAAACTGTATTACTTTACATGTGCGAGGTCTGTCTGGCACATGTAATCATAGATTGTGTTTAGCACTGCACTTTCTTTTAAAGCCTCTCTAGATTTCTGTTTTGTTGGGTTTAGTAAATGCATGTATTTTGTTTCTTTTGCTGCAGGAATTCAAAACAAAAAAGGACTGACCCATATCAGAGTAGCTTTATAGAAGGTACGGTTTATGGAAAAAAAGAAGACAGAGACAGAATTGCTGCAGTAAAGTCATGTTGATAATGTTATATATTATTCATTTACAGTAGGTGCTTTCCTCTGCCTCCTGAGGGAGGTAGATGTTGAATCCTTAGAGAGACAAAATACAGTTACACATTAGAAACCGGAGGCTTACAGTAACTGTAATACAAGGTAAAAATGATTTACACTTTGCAGTAGGATAAGCCATTAAACAATATCCTACCTGTTGGTTTCTTGAAAAATCCGGACAATGGATGCCACTGTGTCCCGTCTATGATTTGGCTGTACTCGTTCACCAACCATCCTGTATCATAACCCGTGGTTTATGACATGGTCTATGATAGTAGCTCTTATTTCATCAGTTACCCTAGCTCTGCCCTTCTTTGAGCACCACCACGCATTCTAACTCCTCTCCCTATACCTTATCCTCACCCACTCCTCTCCCATGTCCTGGTGCTTGTCTGCACTTTGACACCCTGGACACTTTGACACTTTACTCATTACACTGTTTACATTTTCTACATTTTGAATATTTATACTTTTCATTTTTTATCTTATCTTACAGTATATTTCTACATTTACTCTATGTGTATTACTGTAGTAAGTTTTGAATGTTTACTGTATTGTATGGCCTTGCATAACAGTCTTTACATTTCACTGCACATCTGTTGAGCATGTGAAAGATCTTGAATCTTCCTCTCCCTTGTCCTGGTATTCGTCTTCCTCTCCTTCGTGCAGGCATTGTATCTACTTTCTTTGTGTTGCTCTATATTGTTGTATGTTATCTGTTCTGACATACCGTGTGAAATCATTTGTAAATTTGGCTGTAAAAATCAATTGTTTTGGTCTTGGTTGAGCTTGTGTGTAAAACACATTTAAATTTGTGTTAAATGTATGCATTTTGTGTCTAAGCAACAAGAAATGTGTTAATTGCATAGCCTACACAGGCGGATGTTGTGCTAACTGTGTTAAGAGTTTAGGAACATTGTTAAGTATTGAAAAAAGTGTCATAGCAATCGTAAAAAACTGTAACTGGTGTCTATCTCATATTTGTCATGGCCCTTGAGGCAGGTTATGACAGTTTTAGTTTTGTGGACCCCTCCCTCTCCAACCGTTAGCCTTGGTGGAAGAGGAAAGGCCCCACCCACTTAGTGAAACTGTGTCTAGAGGCTTTATGACGTTGTGTCATCACAGACTACAACTAAACAACTTTCCAAACTGAAGAAAAGGCTATTGTTGGCCTGAAAAGACAAACATAGAACTACTGAATCAACTCTGAGATGCATATCTTCAAACTGATTGCAGAATCTTGTGTTTGGATATTTATGAGCAGTTGTCTACTGTAAACCGGTGCGGGGTGAGGGGGAGCTGAGGGATGAAGGAGGCGTGTCTCAAGAGAGCGTTTGTTTTAAAAATCTGCTCTGAAAGTTGCATAGCAAGTCTTTAAAAAGAAGATTATTGATAGAATATGTTGTTGAGGCTAAAAGATTTAAACGTCTTGCATGTGTTGCTGCTGCTGTTTTGACTTTTGACAGATTTTTGAGGAAATCATGACAGTTTAGAAAAGCTTAATTTGATTCTGTTAAAAATGCTTCTCTTTGAAATGCTTGCTTTTCAACACAATGTTGTGTTTTCAGCCTTTAAATGACTTCTGTAAAATACAATTCTTCAAGTATTTCAAATGAAACCATATCAATGAATTTGTCTGCCTCCGGCTCATTAACACTTTACTCACAGTGTGGGTATTTAAATCAAAGGGTCGGGTTGATCCAGTCTGTTTATTTGGATCTGATGATAAAGGCTCAATGTAGACAAATAAAAGCTTTAAAATAGGCTACCCTAGTTCAAAATTGTGTGTACTATCATCTATGAAGAGGATAATATTTTTGAATTGTGTTACCCTGAGAACTTGAATGGAACCATTTTGAGTTTTTTTTTCCTTTTTCTTATGCGGAGGTAGACTCAGGTATCAGCCATCAAAAGAAGGGAAGTTTTTGTTTTCGATTTAGTTATCTTTTTGGTTTGACCATGTGAGGGGAACCTAGAGGATAAGATCAGGTTATACATGTACTGTACACATACTTCCACAAGGTGGTGTCCAACAACAAGCTTCTTAGCTTTCTGTAAACAAGAAATCAAATATCTGGCAGTCATGGCTCTCTAAACAAAACCCACTGAGACACATATGTCCAGGTGACATCATCCCAATGAGTAGTTCATTCAGATGTTTTGATTGCTTTCTTCAGGAACTGGTTAGTTAAAATGATATGTTTTCCTCCTGCAGTGCACATCATAAGAATGCGCTGTGTAGAGACTGACTAACTCGGTGAGTGAGGCCTATATTTAATGATCTTTTTCAATAGGAGAGCTGGTTAGACTTTCTGATGAATTATTGGGGCTGTGTTGTGTAATATTATTGCAATAGAAAGTTAAACATTGGTTTGTGTGCTATGGAATACTGACAAGGAATTGTGAATGTTCTGTATCCATGGTTACAGAGAGCACATATAAGCCAATTTAAAGTATTTCCCCAAACGATCTCCTTTACATATTAGGTCAAACATCCCTGTTATTGAATGTGACTTTTTTTATGCATTTAATTTCTCAACGTGTTATTTCCTCACACATCAGTTGAATAACGGACATCAGGGCCAGAAACAACACTGACTCTTGAGCTTTTCTTCATTGTTTAATCATGTTAATGATGAACAAAGTATCAATAAGTGCAACATAGAATCTGTTCTAAGTATGCAAACTAGAGTGACTCTGGATTTAGCTAAATACTGTTTCTCTGACTATAAAGGGAGGTAAGCATGGACAGGAGCCGGACACGACTGCATGAATGACAGAGGCTATTCCAGTCCAGATATAAACTGTTTACTTAATATAAAGCAGGAAAAAGTGAGTACTGAAAGGACAGATGTAACCCGTATTAGACAATAGAGCTTGCTGTTTTTAAAATTTATGGTCCAAGTCAGACAGGGACTCATTAATGGATGTCTGCCACATAGATTGCTCTTTCATTTTTTTTAAATCTACACTGCTCCTGTTTCAGAGTGCAAACCAAAAAGACAGCTGTCGTTGTTAAAATCATTAACAGTGTTGACTTTAAAGAACCTAGTCAAGTGCTACAGCAGTGAGTCATAGAGTGACTTAGTTGATTGTTAAATGTAACCTCTTATTTTAACTTTTTCTTTCACATCCCGCCCCTGGTGCAGTGTTACAGCAGTGGCTGGGGATCGATCTGGGCATGTGCAGTAGACACCTGGTGACCCCCCCCCACTCCCACCTCTTCTCTGATGGCAGTGCAAAAACCCACCTACGACTCCCCCTTCAGGACTGACACCAGGTCTCCACTCTCCTTCAGCTCCTTAAGTATGTCCAGACCTCCGATCAGCTCTCCTTTCACATAAAGCTGGGGGTAGGTTGGCCAGTTAGAGTAAGTCTTGAGCCCCTGACGCACCTCTTCGTCCTGCAGGATATCAAAGGTGTCATAATCCACCCCGGTGTCGTTCAAAAGCTCCAGAGTCTGCCTGCTGAAGCCACATCTCGCACCTTCCTTGTTGCCCTTCATGAACAGCATGACCGAGCTCTTGTTGATGACGGTCTTCAAGCGGTGCTCCAGGGTGACAGCCTTCGGGCAGGTGTTCTCCAGCTCTCCAGACTCGGCCAGCTCCTTCACGATGTCGAGACCTCCCACCAGCTCTCCATTGGCGTACAGCTGAGGGTAAGTGGGCCAGTTGGAGTAAGCCTTCAGCCCCTGTCGGACCTCTTCATCGGACAAAATGTCAAAGCTGCTGAACTGGATGCCGTGCGTCTTGAGCAGGGCCACTATCTGTCTGCTGAAGCCGCAGCGGGGGTCCTGCGCGGAGCCCTTCATGAACAGCATGCACGGGGCCGCGTTGATGAGCTTCTTCAGCCGCTGGTTCGAATCCGCGGGGCTCTCTTCACCCGGGCTGCCCGCGACCGCCAAGCGGGTCACCTTCTTGGTCAGCTCCGGCGCGTTTGCCCCGTCCAGGCGGTCCACTTTCTCCCCGGCTTTGAAGAAAAGGAAAGTGGGCACGGAGGCGATCTCGTACCTCTCCGACACCTCGGGCACCGCTTCCGCCTCCAGCTTCACGAACGTGGTGTGCGCCTGCGCCTTCGCCAGCTCCGCCATAACCACGTTCATCTGCTCGCACTGCGGAGCCCACGCCGCCTGGAAATGCACCACAGTCAGGCATTTCCCAGCTCGGCCAAGAAATCTTCAAACTGCTGTTGGGTTGTTGCCTCCACGAGATTCGCCATTTTTTTTTTGCTGTACGTTTGTGCCGCACTTCCGGTTTCCTCCCTGGCGTCACATCCGGTGCAACCCGCCTGGTAGCAGCAGCAGCAGAGCCTCTTCTGGGAAGTCATTTTTCATGCTCTGTGATGATAAGAAACAGCTGCATACTCTTGATAAATTGAAAGGATAAACCGCGACATTTCAGGTAAACCACTCAACATCACACCTCACTGTTTACGACACGGCCGGTCTATTGTAGCGATTTGTTTATTTAGCATTTCGCTTAGCCTCCCTGCTTGTTAGGCGGTGAAAGTTAGCTTCCGTTGCAGAGCCGTCCGGTTAAGCTAAATCCTGTTAGCAACCCACTGCTAACTAAGCTTAGCTGAGTTCACGTCTTCCGTTTAAACACTCGAGTTTCGCGTTAATGTCACATTTGGTTAACTCGTGTGAAAACTAAAACTCCTCTTTTTGTATTTCTCTAACTAAACTTTAGCTAACGTTAACCTACTAAGCTGTGTTTCTATGGTAACGTCAGCTACGGCAATTATTATGTTGAAAATCAATTTAAAAGGTGAATATAACTCTGCTGCTCTCTGTTGACTTTACACAGGCCTGTTTCCAGTTCTGTAGTTGTGTTTGTTGTTATTATTATCAGTGACATCTCGTTGTTTTGCCCTCACGTTTCCTGTTGACATCCACTGATCTCTTATGTATTCAGTGTTGTTCACTGTCTGTGTTGCTTTTTGTTGTCTGAGTCCATGTGCCTGTGTTTCTAAATGTGTCTTGTTTTGTTTTTGTTTTTTTGGGGGGGGGGCTGAAGGGACAATAAAGTAGATGTGTGATTGAATGTGTAGGTTATAATGCGCAATTATTGATCAACAGATGGAAAGTTCTGTTCGTGACATTTTTTTAAAATGTAAAACCTGATTAAATCTGATTACTTGTAAGTTTTCTTAGAGCCAGAAACTTTTATGTTCTGCACAAGTAATGAAGAATGCATTTTTTTTTTCATTACGTTCACCAGCTGAGTGGGCCCTGACCCTCTTCTTCTTAACAAAACTGTAAGTAAGTACATTTATTTTATATAGCACTTTTCACAGACAAAGGTCACAAAGTGCTTTACAGCAACAAAAAATAAAACAGGAACAAATGAGTACTTCATGGACCAGACATCATTAAATCCTTCTATAACCTGGAGCTATAATTGGCACAGTAAAACATAGATCAGTAGGTAGACTGGGTGAACCTGATTACCCATAGGCCCGTCTTAACACCTGTCTAAACAGCTGCTTTTTAAAAGACTCTACAGAGTCAGAAAGACGTAACCAGATGGGCAGCACATGTAACATGTGAGGGGCACAGCTAAGCAGGCAAAGGTCCAGACTAGAATTACAGAATATTGTTAATATTTTTCTTTGATCAGAGATTATCAGTCTTAAAAATCACAACTATGTTGTCTCCATTATTAGTGATCGTCATTGTAGGATTTGAATGTTCAGTTATATTCATTAGCCATTGATTTGTAACTTATTGTATTTACTAAAAGGGGATTATAATATTTTAGAAACATAAACAGGGCAGAACATGTTTTACTTTAAAAGCACATTGAGTGCTTTTTATACGTTTTCACAGAGTAAGCAATGCTTATCAAAAAGGATGGTTTGAAGAACTGATTATCAATTAGTATAATGTTGTTTAAATGTTTAAACTCTGTAATATTGATAATGTCTTCAGGAGACCAGTGCATGTTGGGCTTTGTTTACTAGGGCTGGGAATCTTTGGGTGTCACACGATTCGGTTTCACTTCTTGGGGTCGCAAGTCGATTGAGAATCTATTTTCTGGATTCATGATTCTCAGTCTATTTTTGAATTAGTACATACTTCATAATCTACTCCAGTCATCTATGAGACTGGCTGAATTTCTTGTAATTTTCTTGTGTCCGTTTGGCTTTAAGAGCAAGCCTTAGCAGGGAGGGACTGAAAAAAAGAACGATGTTGGAAGTTATGAATCTATTTAAAATCTTAAAAGATAAGAATTTCAATTGATATCGATCGATTTTTTTTTTTCCCCCAGCGCTAATATTTACTGAAATGCTTTCTTTTATGAAACAGAAAAAAAACATGGAGGAACAAACTGCAGACATAGAGGTGACAGTCAAAACACTAGACTCCCAAAGCAGAACCTACACTGTTGGTGCTCAGGTAAATTCCTCACTTTAATCTACAGACTCTGGTTTGAGTTGTCATTTTGAGTCAGCCTTTGTAGTCGCCTCCCTCATGTCTGTTCTATCTTTTTTTTGTAGTTGACAGTGAAAGAGTTTAAAGAACACATTGCCCCTTCAGTGGGGATTCCTGTGGACAAACAGAGGCTGATCTACCAGGGCAGGGTCTTGCAGGATGAAAGGACTCTGACAGACTACAGTAAGTATTTAAAGGGTTAAGTAAAGTGATGCAGATCTTAAAATAAACTTGTTTTAAGGGATCTGCATTTTCTTCTTGCCTTCATCATCAGGTGGTCATTGATTCTTATAATTTGTATTTTACATGTTTACTTTGTAATCAGAGATATACATTAAGGGTTGTAGGTAATTTGGTCTTTGACTTGTTCCTGTAGTTATAGGTATTGACAACAGAAGTAATTGGACATCATTTTAAGTCTTACAGCAATGTATAACACAGCTAGTAAAATAAAAGTGTGAACTCAAAACATTGTCTAATGTTTACTGTTACAACCCTAATTCTTTGTTTTTTTTCCTAGATGTAGGTGGCAAAGTGATACACCTTGTGGAGCGGGCGCCACCGCCGCCGTCCCAGCCTGGCTCCGGGTCAGGAGGATCTTCAGCAGAAAGTGGGCCGTCGTCTTCCTCCCAGGGAACATCACAAGTGCCTCCACATGATCGCAATGCTAACAGCTATGTGATGCTTGGCACCTTTAACCTCCCCGTCAACATCATGGACCCCCAGCAGATACAGGTAGGGCCGCGTAATGACGCCTTAAGACCGAAGTGTCACTAACTGAATTGCGTCATGGGTAATCTCTATTTACATATTCTACATAGGTTTATACTATCTCTGTTTTCTATTGCATTATATTCAATATGCAGTATGTTGCCTAGCCCCAAACAGCTTGGTATTTATGACTGCTGAATGTTTGACTCGCATTTGCACGTTTGGGCTCATTAGTTCTGTACTTTGTTTTTTCCCTTCAGATGTCAGTTCAGCAGATGGTGTCTGGCATGGGAGAGAATGCCAGGAATGCCAGAGTCACAACCAGCACTGGAGTAAGATGCTTGCTGATAGTGTTCAATGCTACATAATGCTACCCTGTCTTTTTTTTCCAATCTTCACTGTTTATTTTTCAGAGCAATGGGTCCGTGAATGTGCACATCGATATGGACCAACCCGTGCAGAGCGAGCCGAGGCTGAGGCTGGTGCTGGCTGAGAACCTGCTGAGGGACATCAATGAGGTCGTCCACAGGATGGAGGTGAGAGCAGACCTGTTCAAATCACCATCATCAGAAGTCACCAGCCTTAAAAATAACATATTCATCTGCTTTATTTCGCTTGTTAGGGTCGAGGGCCGAGTGAAGCTTCCTCCTCCCAAACAGACACAGCCTCTGCTGCGTCTGCTCCCCCTCCACCCTCCTCCTCATCAACCAGCTCCACTCCTTCTCCCTCTGCCCAGCCCATGGACACCTCCCCACCTCCAACAACTCCCCCACCTCCACCCACCTCTTCAGCACAATCTGAGGGACCAACACCCCAACCTGGACCCAAGTGAGACACATGCAATCTCATCGCTGTGGCTTAATCTGTCACTTATAAACATATTCAAGTGGGGGGGGAATGAAATAATGTATCATAGATTCAATGAAAACATGGAGCTAATTATGGGGGCCATTGCAGGATTATTTCCATTGATATTAGAATTTTAAGCATTTTCATTATGTTCCCGACATTATATGGTGAACAGTTGTTGCGTTTGATGGCTACAAGTTTTGCTCTCATTTCTGCCTTTAGTCATCCAAGCCCGGCTGATTTGGCAGAGATGTTATCCGAGCTGCGCAGGGTGGAGGAGAGACTGCAGCCCTTCATTCAGAGAGCTCACACCATCCTGGAGACAGCCACCACCGCAGAATACAACAATAACACAGTAGGGTTCAAACAACCAAATGAGTTAACTGATCATCTTTGGTATATATATAAAAAAAGCCTTTCTTATTAGGATGCCAGGACATCGATTTAAGTGCTTTATAATAAAAAGGGTGGAGGGTCACTTCTTCAGCTGTTGATGTCATATGGTTCCTATAGCAACACTAGAAATGTCCATGATGTTCCCCCTCTCACCTGATTTATTTGACATAATGCTTCTGCTATAGCTATGAATGGTATCAGTCTTAAAATCTAACTGTAGACAAATAGATGTTAGATGTTCAAAATCTCAGGAATCCAACATAGACCATATAATTGATATTGAGAAAGTTGCCCATGCTTTTTTTTTTTTTTTTTTACTTTCTGTCACAGGAGAGAGAGGATGACCAGCGCAACCTTGTCATGACATGGGAGTGTCTCCGTCTCCTTGGCAACGCCCTTGTGGCCCTCAGTGACCTGCGACTGAACCTCATGAGCCCAGTGCCCCGCCACCTACACGTGGTGCGGCCATTTTCCCACTATGCCACCCCAGTGACTATGCCTGGAGCTGTGCACCACCACATCCCTGTGCAAGTAAGTGAATAAAAGCACATTTAATGTATTCATGTGACCATTTGATGTGATCACACTGACTGTGTGTGCATCTTCACTTACAGATGAACTTGGGTGCCACAGTGACAGTTGGGCCTAACGGCGCGGAGGGACAAGCCCCGCCCACCCATTCAGCCAACCAGGCTGAGCAGGCAGGTCAGGGACAGACCACCCCCTCACAGACCTCCCCTTCCAATCAACAGGCTGGACAGGGACAGGCTGGCCCCCGGGTCATCAGAATCAGCCACCAGGCAGTCCCGGTGGTCATGATGCAGATGAACACGGATGGTGTGTTGTCCCCTACCCGCCGCTGATTGAATGCTCAGCCACATCACGGCTGATTGTGTATCATATTAATGTGCAGCAGTGCTTTGCAGTTAAAGTTCCCCATGTTAAAATAACTGCATCCTTTATGCACTGCTGCCAAAAACATTTGCTGAATGTTCTCTAATCCCCCACTGTTTGCGGAAAGATATCTGTTATTGCAAGTGTACTTCTCTGGACGGTTTTATACAGGTAATAACTTCAGTATTGTACAAGGGAGTTCATCTGTTTGTGTGTTTGTTTGTATTTAGGTTCAGGTCCAGGAGCAAATCCTGCTGCAGCTGGACAGCAAATACCTGGACAACCAGGTAAAGACTAGTTAATAAAATACTTAACATACAACACATCCTACTCACATCAAACGTCTTCTGCTGTAGTTTATAAAGTTTTTTTTAGAAAGTCAACAGGTAGATCAAATTAACAAAGAAGCCCATCAGTCTCTGTGCAGCTAAGAGGGTTTACCATTCAGCTGCTTCTCCTTTACCTGAAATCTGCTCTATATTTGTTGATATACAATCCAATCCTTCCAGTTCCAACATGTATCAACTTTGTCATTCTTTTGATTCTTTCTTTCTTATTTATTTGTATACTTATATCCCCCTTATATAATCTACAATGGGAAATTACAACTTTCCACTCACACAGACAGAACTGAAACACACACACAACCACAGACAGAACCTGTCCAAATCTCATACTTGGTCCGTACTGCGACTTCAACTGGTGACCCTCCAGTTTGCAACTCATTCCCAATTTTGTTTGTCTTTCACGATATATTTGTTTAAACAAGAGAAAAGAATGCAATTGTATTTGTTATTTTTTTTGTTTCCTCCCTCAGGTGCCCTCCCTCCAGACTTCATGCGGAACCTCATGCAACAGATCAGCCAGTATGCTGCCGCCGTAGCAACTAGCGCTGCCACCGCTGGCCACCCAGTCCCACCGCAGCCCACCCCACCTGGCTACAGCTCCACAGCAAACTCCTCCACTACCACCACAGGTCCCAACACACCCACCACCACCCCTACTGCTCCCCCACCTCCTCCTCATACAGGCCCCCAGCCTCAAGCCAGAGTTGTGTTCACCCGACCCCCGTTCGCACCGAACATGGCCCCTCCAGCCTTCGGTCCCCGGGGCACCACCATCAATGTGAGGGCTGCCATGCCGGGACAGCAGCCGGGACAGGTGGGAATAATGTTTTTCTAATTCTTCTTCTGTTTTTGAAGCTGACTGTTGGCACAATATTTAATAATTGCAAAATCTTGCTCCGCAGGCTTTCAACCCCGCTGCTCTTAACCAGATGATTAGTGGACTGGTTGGACAGCTGTTACTGCCAGGACAAATGCGTACGTTTTTATAATAATATTCATAATTAAAAACTGGACATAGATTTGCATTTTTTAAGCAGCTTTCTTCTCTGTCATTTTGAGAGCAAAACGTTTATATAAATTGATCAAGGATTACTGTCAATACATGACGTTTTCTTTTCTTTTTTTTTCAGCTGGTCAGACCGTCACATCCTCCTCATCCACGTCCACCTCCTCCTCCTCCTCCTTCTCCACCTCCTCTCAGAACTCCTCATCCTCTTCCTCCTTTTCTTTCTCCGCCTCAGGTCCAACCCCTCCACCCACCGCAAACGCTACTGGTCAGCCTGACGCCAACCCCGGTGAGCAGCAGCCCCATGAGATGCCCCCAGACCTGAGCCAGCTCCTGGGTTCTCTCCTGGGTGTGGCCGGTGGGGCCGGTGCAGGACCTGGAGGAGCCCCTTCCATTACTGTGACCACATCAGGGGTCCCAGCCTTCATCCAGGGAGTGAGTGAGTTCATGCAGGTCAGTGCTTTGCTGTTTGACTTGAATGCACACACTACATTGGTTGTCAACAAGTAAAAAAAAAAAAAAAAAAAATGTAAAGATCTCGTCTATTCTGCTTACTCACAACTCTATGATGCATGTGTTGTCCCCATTCTGAATTATGCTGCTTGGATATGGGGATTTAAAGCGTGCAATTTATCAGATGCTTTACAAAACAGATTGAAAAGGTTCCGATCTCCTTCTTTCCTTATATTTAATAAGGAAGTGTCTCCTTTAAATAAAAGCTTGCTAGTTTGACAGTGTATTCTATGTTGTTCTTATTAAACCTCTTCTGCTTAGATGACATTAACAACTTTAAAAAGTTGTATTTTTTTATGTAGTGCGTATTATAAAACATATGGTATTGACACCGGTATTACAGCAAGTGAGATACCTGTTTTATCGGTTTGGTTATTTTCCATTTAAATTAAAGAAAATTTATGCCAACAAATCCTCACTCATCTGTTTTATTCCTAGGCCTCCCAGCCCATCTTCGCTCCACCTGCACCTCCCTCTGGTACCACTCCTGCTCCTGGTGCAGGGCCAAACCCCCATCCCAACCCCCCCCGGGGCAGCTGAAGCCCTCAACCCGGAGCTGTTCACGGGCATCGTCCGTGGCGTCCTGGGCACCATGATGGGCTCCCTGGGTCAGGCCCAGAACGACACAGAGAGCATCGCACAGTTCATGCAGAGGCTCTCCCAGGCGACCAACATCTTCATCAGCCCAGAGGATCCCACTGGTACATTAAAAAGATAGAAATACAGAAAACATCCAAACTGATCATTTCAGAAAATTGTTTATCTTTATTTAACCCTCATGTTTGTGTCATTTCTTTTTTATCCCAGGGTTTTTTGGAGAGCTGCTGATGCTGGTGTGCCAGACGTTCACCATGTCTGACCTGGTGATGCTGCTTCATGGTCAGCACCAGCCCCTCGGACGCATCCAGCCCCAGCTGTCCCAGTTCTTCACGCAGAACTACCTCAACGGCAGAGAGCCCACCGATGAGAACATTGTTGTAAGAACCACTCCCCAGCTGGAGAAGATGAATATTCCTTTAAAATGTCTCTGTTTTATTTAGATGGAGTATTCAACTTTAAAGTTGGAGTTAGTAGAAATGTTTGTTGCAGCTTTTAAACACAACATTCAAACTGGGCCCCTCCTCCTAGGCTCATTGCCTCCAAAGGCGCACACTCACTGTGTGCTAGGCACCTGCCTGTCTAACAGAAAGGAGGCCAACTCTGCATCCAAGGGTAAAGACCAACACAACACCCTCGTTTTAGAATGAGCTTTGTCCGCTTGACGTTTGGCCTCATTATGATTATATTTTCTCTTCTTTGGCCCTATGACTGCGTCCTTCATAACCGTCGGTTAGATAAACGTCCAATCACTGAATTGTATCCACTCTCAAACTCACCTGCGCACTGTCATTGACTGGGGCAAATAAAGCAGCTCCCCGTCCAGAAAGGTCCCGACTCAACCAAAACATAAAAAGATCCAGTCAGAGGACTCAGTGTCCACCATAAGTGATGATTGAGCAGCATTACTTTTTTACAGGTCAATCTTTTATTTTTAGCTAAAAACTGCTGACTCTATCTTTAAGGACAAAGTTAAAGTACATTTTATTTAAATTGTTGGTGCCTGGTGTCTTTGACCAGTAGTTGATGATCTTCATCTTTTTCTACCTGTGTGCTGTCATATTTTTATTTATTTCCTCGTGTGTTTTCTTTCCCTCCTGCAGGCTGCTGCTGACAGTCTTGTCAATGAACTGGAGGAGTACATCACTGAGAGCTTTGTAAGTTCCTCATTTAAAAACTCCTCCAACGTGACTTGCATCTCGGAGACTCTGAATCAGGCACACACTATAATTATATGTCACAGATATATATATATATATATATATATATATATATTATACACTACTTATTGCACAATATTTATGAGATATTATTGTTATTATTAATGGACCAATGATGACAATGTATAGGCCTGTGATTATGCAAAATGAGGTTTACAGTATCTACTTTTAGTCCTTCACAAGGACTAAAGTTGATAGAATTTGTTGCTTAGACGACCTTTATAGAGATCACTTGTTAATGTTTCTGTTTGCATTGTAGACTTTTTTTTATTAGTTTATTTAACAGGGAGAGATACAGTGAACATTGCTTCATATATTAAATACAAACTAAGATGCCATGCACACGAGTTTCTAGCAGCTAATTTGCAACCCCAGTCCCTGGCTCAATTCACTGTTGAAATACGTTGTGTAGTTTTTGAATGTATCGACAGCCCCTGTTTTCTCCAAATCCCACAGAGAGAGTCTTCAGTCACAGTGTTGGAGGGCATTGATGCCACTCAGACCAACATGTCCTTCTTCAGAACGCAGCTGACACACATTGCCACACATATCCTGCGATGCCATGGTAAAGAACAAATCATACTTTAACATAAATGAGTAGTTTTGATGATTGGGTTTATGATGTAAATGTATCAGGACCTTCTGCTGGGAGGTGATGTTGTAAACCAAAGCATGAGTTTCTTGTGTGTCTGCAGGACTTTAGGGTCATATTTATTTTGTGTTAATCATGCATAAGAATATTTTTCTCTCCCAGATGACTCATTTGGGCCGCAGCTGCTGCAGATGTGTAACCAGGCACTGTTTGAATGTCTGGCCCTCAACCTGTACTGCTTGAGAGGAGACCAGAGAGCTCTCACTGCTGTCATCAACCACAGAATAGTCAGTATACAATATCTGTCATTCACACACTGTGTTGTATCTTTCCCTTTGTTCAGGAGGCAGTAAAGGAAATAATTAAACTGAATTGTGCAGGTTAGAAAGAGAGTGTCAGGTTTATAGCTTTGTGCAAATGCAAGGAGGAGTGTGTGGAAAGAAATGCAAAAAAGAAGAAAAAAACATCCAAAGGCATCTAGCAGATAATTTAACCTGACAAGCTTCCAAATAAACTACTCGATTTTTCCCCACATACGATATTGTAACTGTCATGGATATTAAAACTGTATTTTCAGAAGAAATATAATTTGATAGATTTTTTTAACAGATACTGTGTGATGATATCCGCAGTGACTTTAAATAAAGAAACCTTTTTGTCACAGAATAACAACAACAAGATGTCAGATGTTACTGAATCTGCCTATGAAATATTTTTGTTCACATTTCAGATCAGAAGAAAAAAAACATTAACTTTTTAACAATCCGATTGGAGAGGAAATTATCAAAAACAAAAAAGGGGAAACAGCTGTTGTTCCTTTTAACAGTTTGACTTTTATTTTCTGCTGTTCCAGCGGAGGATGTCGAGCGACATCAGCCCCAGCCTGGTTAACTGGATGACCAGCATGATGACGATGAGGCTGCAGGTCATTCTGGAGCACATCCCTGTCACTCAGGAGCAGATCCAGAACTACATCAGGTTCAGATCTACAGATCAGGTAACAGACTGGGTGTATTTTTTATTTTATTTTACTTTAATCAAGTGTTTAGTTGGAGGAAAGAACACTTGCAATCCTCAATAAGCTGATGTGGGCGCTCAGGCTTGAAGCTTTAGACACTTTGATTCTGTCTTTCCTTCAAGTTTTGTTTCTGTATCTGCAGATATCTATTCTGTGTTTTATTGTTTTATATTTGAAGACATTGTAGTGATTCTGCAGAACAGGGTGCATTTGTTAACCTGTTGTCTGATGGCTGACACATATCTTGTTACTCTGGACAGCACGCCTGAATTGGCTAATAAATATTAAATGACATTCTTTCAGAGAGATCAGTCTTCTGCCGCTGGCACACAAGAGCCCGAACGAGCACAAAGTGCAACGGTAAGCACTGAGGTGACTTTCAGGTCTTTTTCTTGATGAACTCAGTCTGACATTTTCAGTACTGTTTAGCCATTTTTTGTTCCCACATTTTCACTGTTCTCCTCTTCCAAAGATTGGGGACACCCTCTCACCGGCTGCAGCCACCACAGCAGAGGAGGCCATGTCGGTATCACACGACACGAGGGCGTCGTCACGGGAAACAAGAGTGTTGCCAGGGGACCTGGGCGCCTCAGGAGGAGCCGCGCCGTTAGGTGGCGACATGGCAGCAGCGGGAGCCGAGGGAGGAAGTGAGGAATCTCCCCGAGAGTCTGAGGCCTGGGCTGCTGCTGTTCCACCTGTAAGAGCCGACAGTTTCATTACTGTTTTCTTTGTTGCAGTGCAGACCTGGTTCATATTTACTGTGACCTCAGTACTCAAGATGGTTAAAACAAACAAACAAACAAACAAACAGAAAAGAGGTGTTTCATCTTTAGAAGTAGTTCCATTAACAACATATAATCCTTCAGTCTGGATTATCTAGAGCATGTCAGACATTGTTTCTGGAAAGACTAGACTTAATAAGACTATGAAGGAATTATTTTTATGTTTAAAGTCTATATTAAATCATTGCTTGCCTTTCCATGATTGCATTGAAGCATGTTTTGTTGCTGCTGTAGAGTTCATACATCAGGCTTCCCCTCCCTTGTGTCTTTACAACATCCCAGAGTTAATGGGGAACTAGTTCTTTGATCGTAACACAAAAATACAAAAACCTAATGAGAGACTTTTAAAGTCATTTATGTGCCACAATTTTTTGTACAGTTAGTTAACTCTGATAACTCATACTCCTCATAAATCCTATCTCTGCTGTGTTTTTTTTTACTGTGTTGTAGGAGTGGGTGCCCATCATCAGGTGTGACATGATGACCCAGAGGAAGATGAAGGCTCAGCCTCCGCTATCTGACGCCTATCTGCACGGCATGCCGGCTAAACGCAGGAAGGTAATCAGATCAGTAGTGACTACACTTTTAATGTAGTGAATGTTTCCTTTCCACAACGTTCTTCAGAGTGTGTGTGTGTGTGTGTGTGTTTTCAGACAGGACTGGGCGGTGGAAGCCTCCTCTCCCTCTCTGACGCAGTGAGTCAAGCAGCCAGGACAGCGGGAGTGAAGCCCATCACTTCTGCAGAGGAGCTACAAGATGATCTGGAGACCCAGGATATGAAGGAAGCCTACGCAGAGCAGGTAGCTAAACCTTTAATGAGTATTTGCTGCTCACCATTTTAAGCTACTGGTGACAACAGTGTGATCCTTTAGTTTTGATACTTTGTGTAATGATATGTATCTTTGCTTGGCTTTTACAAAGTTGAAAAGTGTGAATACTGATGACTCTGTTTCCCCCACAATGCATCATTACAAACTTTCTTCTTCAGGGATTTTTCATGATTTAAGGATAAAATTAAACAATCAGATAAATAACCAACCATTCAAGAATAAACACAGAGAAGTTCAATAAGTGTATGTGTACATGTCATACATGTGCTAATTAACACATAATAAAAGAAAAGCACGACATTGTCATAACATAAAAGGGATGCAAAAAGTTACAAAGACAGATTATTGTTTTCTTGCATATTGTTTTTAATCTAAATAACTCTTATTTATGATTTTTTATCTTTAGAACTTTAATGTTAAAACTGTAGGATTATGGTACTTTTTCTGCTTTCAGTTTTCAGACATTTCAATGCTTTTAGATTATTTTCAATACCACATGTATAAAACATTACAGTCTCTGTTATTTTAATAACTGATTATATCGATAAGCACTGAAGCTTTGAGGGGGAGGGCAGTGGCAGCCCCTTTCGATTTCACAGGTTGGTAAATACTGAGGTTTCTGAAATCCGAAATAGAGAGCAGAGGAGGTTTCTGTCTAAATTGTACAAATCACTTTTGAAAGTGAAACTTTTTGAAAGTTTTCAATGTTTTGGTTATTAAAAACAAGGGCTGACCCTTTGTTGTGGGCCTAGGACTTCTATTGTTGTTGCTGTGGTATCAAAACATGTTTTTGGTGTTGTTATTTTTTTTAAACGTTCATTTTTTGGCTTTTTAATCCTTTATTTAGAGATAGGACAGTTGACAGAGTCAGAAATCAGAGAGAGAGTGTGGGGAATGACATGCAGGAAAGGGACAACAGGTGGGATTTGAACCCGTACATGGGGCGTGCACACTAATCACTCGACTTCTGGAGCCTCATACTGTTTGATTTTTACTGGTATCATATTAAAGTTTAAAAATCTGGTAGTGCACAATAGTTGCTTAAAGTATGCACACTTTGCTCTCCTCTTTGTCCTGACTATCCTGTGATGTTTAACCTGCCAAGAGAAAGGGCTTGTGGGATATAGTGTTCAATTTAGATCAGCTAAAACAAAATAAACATCACACAGCAGACGGTCTCTTTTCCTTTCCTGATTTTGAGTCAGTACTGTAATCACAGATATAAAGGGGATTTCTCTATAACAGGGAATCAGCCTCCACTCAGTCCTTGTCACCATGGTAATGATCATTTTCCTTTGCCTCTCAGGTTAAATCAGACATCAAGAAGCGAGTGAGGGAGGACCCAGATTTCAACTCCCAGAAGTTCCCCAACTCACACAGAGCTTTCTCATCAGACTCATAATCATGTACAACCCTCATCATTCACTTCTTCATCTTTATTTTTTTTATTTCTTTGATCATAATTCGACCACCACTTAAAGCAGCTTCACCCCCCCCCCCAACTCTCTGTTTGCCTTTTTAATAGCGCTCTTGACTTAACTTCTCCTGCTAATGTGACTACCCCCGTGCCTATTTATTTTTCTGTTTATATCTGTCCGACCTTCGCTGAGACAATTTGTTGCTAAAGGTTTTCACACCAGAATAACTAGTCTGACTTTACTTCTCTTTGGATACATGTTTGTATTTTCCTTTTTGCCCTCTTATCCTCGTGTTAATATGGAGCCTGAATCGTCAATATTTAGTGGACTTCTGCCTTCCTCTATACTCTCAAACGCAAGAGTATACTTTCATGCGATGAACATGCTGTTTGGTACATGAATGTACAGTAAGCTTAATAAAAATCTTGATACAATATACATAGTGTTCTATTCCTGAGTTGTATGTTTGTGCATGCATGTATTTCAGCCTGTGTGTGTGTGTAGCATGTTTCAACACCTGCGTGAAAAATTCAGAATTCCCCTCTTAATGAAAAAAAAGCCAGTGTTTTTTCACATTTTTTCTATCAGGGGGCACTGAATGAGTTTTCAACAAAGACTGTAGATATTAGTGGATGAAGCCTTAGTGACTACATCCGTCTGTTACAGCGGGGGGGCGTTTGCGTCTCATCGGTGGTGGTCCCCATGCTGTAAATCCTGTGTCAACCTGACAACAGGCTGGAGCTGAGGCGGGTTTTAAGCCTTAACTAAATTAACCACATATCAAAAGAACCCAACAACATGAGTTGATACCATGAGGACCAAAGACATAAATGAGAAAATATGTGCAGTGTCCGATTAAGTTTATGTGATGTGACACCCTGCTAATGCATGCAGCTACAGCATGATGTATTTAAAAAGAAACAGCTAATTGTAGAGTGCAGTTAATCATCCAGCACAGTGTGCAAACAATAACTCTGCAAGTGAGCAGTGACGTGGCAGAGCAGTTTAAGGACACAGTGACCTTGGTGAACAGGTCGGACTGCCTGACGTAGTCGTAGAGCCACTCAGAGGAATTTAAACAGCCAGTGCAGTTCCTGGTTGGCATCCTGTTCAGGGTGAGGAATGTGAGCGAGTCATGTGGCACCAAATTACCCGCAGGCCTCTGTTATCAGCTCTGGATGTGACCGGCAGAGCGTAATACAACATTTTCCATACATGTTCTGCATCTCTGTTTATTTTGGACAATGGAAAAAAAAAAGAGGCTACGAAAGTGAAACGATTTAACAGATGTTGAACAAGATTTTCACTACATTTATAATATTTTAAACAGGAAACAAAGACATAAATACGTATAAAGCCATTTGGCTTGGAACTCAAATACTTTTCCATTAATTTCATCTTAATCGTCTCCTGCTGTTAAGACATCCAACACCCAAATGTATTATCTGTTAAACACTACTGTGTGTGTGGTCAGACATGAATAGTAAGTCTGGGAGTGGTGAGCACTGTCACCCAGCCAGCATGGTGCTAACCTGCACCATATTTGCATAGGGTGTGTGTATGGTGTGCATACAAAGCTGAGTGATGTCTATCAATGAGACACACTAGAGTTAAAGAGCCAACATTTGCTCTCCTGCTGAGAGTTTGAAGAAAGGATTGATGGCCCCTGGGTGTCCGTATACTTAAATATGCTACAGCAAGCAAAACGTTAGCTTGTTGTAGCATCCTGATCTAAAACAGCTGGCCTAGTTCAACCTCACATTTGCATAATCTACCGATCAGAAACTCTTAACGTTCACTAATCAACACTGTATATCTTGGTAGGTTGTGCTTTGGTGTCCTTTCCTCTCCAGGAAGTCACTACACCTGGCAAAGAAAGAGTCATGCACTTAATGCACATAAAGCCATTTTTAGTTATTTTATGGCCAATTTTAAACTTACTGTAATGATTAAACAAGAAATAACTAAACAATAAATAACTAAGCTTTAGTAGTGCTGAAAGATGGATTTTTTTACTTCACACGGGATTAAGCTAGCTGTTTCCCTTTATTTCCAGTCTTTATTCTAAACTAAGCTAAGCTAAATTAAGATAGGCAACTGCCTGCTCCTCCTTCAAACTTACAGTAGGCATAGCCGACATGTGCAAGTGGTATCTACCTTCTCGTCGAAGTAGAAATGTGAATAAGCTAAGCAGCTAGCGCACATTAAAGCAAGACTTTAGATTTAAAGATGAAACTAATTGTAATTGTTGGCGACAAAAGGTTTCCTTAACAAGAAAAACACTTCTTTGCTTTTATATGATTTGTAGCTACAACAAAACCAGACCTGGTATAACCCGTTGTTTGTGTTAGCTAATGTTAGCTGTGAGCAAACTTAAGACTGTGCTGTGTAGCTGCCATTGCTTCCTCTGTTTGCTAACTTTAAGACTTTGTATGACGACTTTGAAACACAACGTTTTACAATCTTTACAATACCACAGGCATGGTTACATTGTGGCAACAGTGGTGATAATTCAGCTTGAGTTACATCTGGCTTTAAATCTTTGAAAAAAAAAAAAATGTCCAGAGAAGTTTAGAGGGAAAAAAAATACTCAGCAGTGCATATTTAGTTTTTTTTTTACGGTGAGTGGTTAGGCCTATAGGAAGGCCCCCGGATTTGATCGAGGATCTTTGATATTTCTGTATTTGTGGGCAAGCCAAACACCAACAATCTGAAAGGAAAAGTAAAGAGTCAGCTTTTCTGAATTTCACACCAATTTTCGCATTTTAAATCACATCACCATGACTTTTTTACTGACCTCGGTAAAACTGAAGAACAGTCCGATACCTCCCACAAACCGCAGCACCTCTCCTGCGTACTGCTGGATGATGCTTGCGCACGTTTTACAAGTCACCGGAGGGTTGTTGTTAAAGCATCGCTAGAGAAAGGGGACGTTGAGAGAAAATTCAGAGGCAGAAAATACAAAACGCAATTGAGGAAATAATATCCCAAATTATTAACTTACAGCTGCACATGTGCCATTGGGGTCGAAAGAAGAGTAACCACAGCAGTCGAGGGTTTTCTCGACGTCCATTTGTGTGGATTCAGATTTGTTCCATCCAACCTCCAGGAGATTGTTCTGCAAATGATAACTTGTTTATTTTAAATATTGCAAAGATGGGCAGCAGACTGATGTGGCAATGAAGAACAATCACAACATTCTTAAATATAAAGTTGTGTACAATCAACACTGTTAGAATCAGAAGGCAGACTTGAGAGCATGAGCATTTACCCGAGGTAAACTATAAATTGTAAACTACTGTTTTGGTCCAAATAGAAGACAACCCTAGTTCCAAGAAGACCCCGACTTTTTAAGACTAACTTTTGGAAAAACACTTTGAGAGGACCAAATCTGTTTTTAACAACAAATTTAGTTTTCAATATCTTTAGATTGAACCGTTACATTTTTATTTTTCAATCATTTCCAGTAGGGGCAGCAGTAGCAGTGTGTAGGGACCTGGGTTGGGAAATGAAGGGTTGCCAGTTCAATTCCCAATGCGGACCATAATATGGAAGTTGGTCTGGTAGCTGGAGAGGTGCCAGGCCACCTCCAGAGTACTGCTGAGGTGCCCTTGAGCAATGCCCCGAACCCCAAACCGCTCTAATGCGCTCCCTGTGTAGCAGCCCCACTCCGACATCTCTCCACTAATGCATGTCCACAGGTCCTGTTTGTTAATGTGTGTATTTCTGACCTGTGTGTGTGAGAAGCATGTCTGAATAACAGAGTGTAAAACAGAGTTTCCTTCAGGGATTAATAAAGTATATAACATTCAAATTCAAATAGACTTTACCGTCACTGATTTTTCCCGTCTGTCTTGTATACAGTGACATATGTTGGCATATTAAAAAATACAGCTGTTTGGTCAGGATTTCTCATCTGATCCAGGTGTGCTTTTTCTTTAAGTTAATCACAAAGCGCTGAAAGGACAGGGGCTTCTCTGAAGCCTGAGCGCAGGTGCTGTGTACCCTCGTTCTGTGTTTTAATAACATACTCACACACTCCTGTCAATCTCCTGGAGACGTTTGAACACCATGGTAGGATTTCTTCTGACTGTTAGCGTTACTGAGACGGCTTTTTTGGGCAAACAGTTTTCGGACATTACACTCAGTAACATTATATGTCATTATATTAATGCTTCATTAATAACCATAATCTGAAAATTGGCATTATAACTCCACATCAGTTGTTGGTTGACTTGACCTGCTTTCGAGTCACTTTGTTCTGGCCAATCGCGGTGTCTCTCTCTGGACGAAACTAAGACAATCTCACTTTTTGAAGGAAAAAAAAAACCCTGTCTTATATTTGGACCAATACGACCTTGCGATGCATAATTCAGCAAAGACAAAACAAACATACCTGTTGGTCTTTATTCAGGGACAGGCATGCGCAGGACACAGAAAACTGCACGACGAACACTGTGAACAGGATTATCATGTACTGGACAGAGTTAAGGAAGTTTAAGTTTGATTTAAAAAATCATGAAAACTTTCTGAAATCTCTCAGTGTTGCTGCCACATGAGAGCGTCAAACATTGGAATACAGAGGACTAAAATCCTCCAGGAGCTTTTTGATATTTACTTTTCATTTTGTTTTAGCACACAGCAGCTGTCAGACAGTCTTAGGTTCCTGCAAACAAACCTGGACGAAAAACCAAAGGATACAAAGAAGAGCAGGACCTGGTGGTGCTTCAGGGCGCCGCACAGACCCACAAAGGCGACCATGAAGAGGAAGATGCCCACGCAGATGACCCCCGCCACCACCCTGATGCTGGAGACCAGGCCGAACCATTTCCCCCAGGCTGCCACTCCGACAAGCAGCAGACTCACCATCTGAGGAGGAAGATGAAAAAAAATGTTGGCATTAGAGGAGGAAGTGCAATCAGTGTTATCTGTTTAAGGAAGTGTGCACATCCCATGGAGGTCCAAACTTTGTACCAGCCGGAAGATAAAGTGGTTTATTGTTCTAGTTGTACCTACATGATGTGTAATAACTACCCTTCTTCAAGTTTAAGATAAAAAGCAGCTCTGTTTTTAACTCAACTCTGCAAGCTTGCTGATCACTGATACTCTGAGATATTAAACCCTGATCGTGTGACACAATTAGGCAGGTTAAAATTCAAAATGCATATTTTTTTGTCCAACTTGCAGCCAGCCATCAAACTAAAATGACATTTGTCTGCCACCAAAAGTGTCCCCCAGAGTTTATTAATCTTTAAATGTCTGAATCTGGCTCTCAACATTTACAGAGAGCAGAGAAACATCACTCTCAGGTTCAATGAGGGCTCCCTAACCTTAATGTCAGAGGCTTTTTGGGCCTTATGAAGTTATAGAGAAGACTGCAGGCTTAACTCCGGGGCTGAAAAAGGAACCATGCCTGAGTCCAAAATGTTGCACTCATTTAACTACTCAATTCTTACCACTAACAGATTCATATGCAAAGGGCTCAAAATAGAAAAATGAAGAAAATTGGACACTACTTTTGGACATTTCTCTGCACCCTCAATCACATTGCTATTGTTCATGATGTATGGGTAAGACATCTTCAGTTTTACACTACTTTTCATAATGCACTGCGGAAACTTTGAGACCCTTATATATGGTTTATATTAGCGCTCTGTAAACATTCAAAAACGACAACAGGGGCCGCTGGTGGCGCAGTGGTTAGAGCGCACGCCCCATGTATGGAGGCTGTAGTCCTCCAAGTGGGCAGCCTAGGTTCGAATCCGACCTGTGGCTCCTTTCCCGCATGTCATTCCCTACACTCTTTCTCCCTGATTTCCGACTCTATTCACTGTCCTAGCTCTCCAATAAAGGCACAAAAAAAGCCCCCCCCCCCCAAAAAAAGAAGAACACAACAAATGATCGAATCCACTAAAAGAGTATTAGGAAGTGGAAGTTTTGAAGACAGAGCTTTTGACTTTTATGCATGCAGTTTGGGAAATTAAAATAATAAATCTTGATGTTACTGTTAATTCATACTAAAAGTACTTGTATTGCAAAGAGGTAAATAATACAATGTGGAGTATAATTCACAGTAACATAGTGTTATTTTGTAAAAAAATAGATTTAAATCACTGTTATATTTCTAACCATACTACCTCTATGATGATCACAGTATCAATCTTCATCTCTTTATTTGCAAGATAATCATATAGGCCTATGTTCACTTGTTTTTGCTCAACGTGTTTAAATGTTGTATTTAATTGTTGTATTTAATTGTTTCCTTTAAGTGACACCTTTTGACATATTGGACTTAAATAGGGAGCTATTTACTTCTCTTAGAGATGCCTTTCAATGAAGGGCTGCACCCAACAATTATTTAATTATCCACGGATTTAGGGCAAGAAGTTACACAGCCCGATCAAATTATTTTTTCTGTTCAATTATCTGTCTACAAGAACCTTCACCCTTAAGATAATAATCATGTACGACACATTAAAGTGTCAACATATGAGAAGATTATACCATCATGTTTTCCTACCTTTCATTAGATCAGTGGTTCTTAGCTGGTCTAGCCTTATATTAAGACCCACCACCAACTCTTCTTATATTTTTCAACCAACCAGATTTAATTATTACAAAATTGAGCAGTTTGGACAGATGAAAAAAAACCAAAAAAAAAAAACACAATGTTGCTTTAAAAAAAACCTCGAGAACAAGCACCGCGACCCAATTTTGGGTCCCGACCCACCAGTTGGGAACCACTGCTTTAGGCTACCTGACTTGCTACAGGGGTTTATGCAAATGTATGATGCAGACAGCAACAAACGGTTTCAGCCACTCAGCTCGTTACGTTTTGTTTCTATGTAAGATGACGTCACTTTAGCGAGTCGTGAACAAAGTTTTCACTAAGACTAAAAAGATCTTGCACGTTCCCCACACGGCAACTCATTTTTCCGATTTTTTTTTCTGATGCCCCTTGAAAGCAGGTTAAAATCATCACCTGCCACCTTCACACGCGCGTGACATTTCCTCGTCAAGAAAGCGGACAAAACCCATTTCCACCCTCTCCTCCTGCTCAGCTTAATGCTCGACATTTATAAATGACAGTGTTCACAGTCAGAGAAACGTTTCCATCTCTATAAAAGCAGTAAATTCATACTTACAACGTAAAGTATATTCAGAGCGCAGAGTCCGTTCTTGGTGCAAACGAATCCGCCGCAAACCATCGTTGCTCTCTAGAAAAAGTCCTTCAAACAGAACGATTTTGACTTCTCCAGCTGTTTCACTGAGACTGCGTTAGTGTTTCAGGCTCTCTAGGCTCCGTGTGGCTTCTTGTCTGCAGGTGGAAAACACCAGAGAGAGCCGTTTCCTGAACACATCCTGCTCGCTGATTGGTCAGTTGTCTCAGCTAAACACAGAGAGCTTCTGTTCTCAGTGCAAAAATAATTGCTTCTCTATTGTGAGGATCACATTAGATAAGATCATTGTGTCACCACAAGCTGAAGGTTAATACAGTTTACTTCTTCATTGTGGCACATTTATTTTGAGTAACTAGGACTGCTTGCTTGGTTGTGAAAGTAGAAGAAGAGAGGAAACCACCAAGGTTGTAAGAGCTTGTAAGGATTTTTCACAAGTTACATTTTACGTTTCGATTTCATGTTTTTGTTTCGTTTTAATTGTGGTTTGCTTGTTAAGTGTCGTTTTTATTTTGTAAATTCTTGCTGTTATTTAAGGTCAGTTTTAGTTTTCCATCCGTGTAGGCTATTGCAAATGGTTCACAGAAACATATCAAGCAACTTCTATGAAAGAAATTATCCTTTTAAGATATTTTAAGAAGTAAGGGGAAAAAAAAGTTTTAACTCCTGCAGTCAACAAGCTCATCCCAAATTGAAAGTGATGTGTCTGAGACAAGTAGACAAACCTTATGTCACTCAGTATGCCTGTGTCAAAGACGGGATAAGGACACTTTCTTTATCTTTTTTTTTTAATTTTAAATTTAGTTTGTTTTGTAAACACAAAGACAGTTTCAGTTAGTTTAATATTTTTTTGTAAAAAATGTTTTTTACATTTTAGTCTCCGTTAACAATAATAACCTTGGGCTGTACCGATGTAGGAGCCATATCGTGTATTTTGCTCCTTATAAAGGTTTCATATCAGGCGTGAGTTTACTTTATTTTAACATCTGCATGTGTGTGGCGGGAGGCTATAGACAAAGTGGGTGAGTGGGTTTGAATATTTTCTGTTGAACGTCATCGTAAGCCTTATCGTCATCATCATAATGATCACCATCTTTTGGACTTTTTGTTTTGAATTGTGTTTCACTCTTTTGTTTAATAACTCAACAAACAAACAGAAAGGATAGTTGAACGAAGAACTAACTAAAACCAGACAGAACAAATCAATTCAGGGAGAAATGAAGGTGTCACCCCTCAGTGGTCAAACTGCCTCCATACGGTCTGGTAGTTGACCACTCTGGGAAAAGACACTGGTCTTGTCAGGGCCGGCACTCTCCTCTGGGTCTGGGTGTGGCTCTATAGACAATAGATCTCTGCGTGAATCCCAAAAATAAACAAATTAGAAATGACCAGTGTGGGCGCTCCTTGCCATGCCTGCTCTGCCTATGGTTGTGCTGCTGGGGGGGGGGGGGCGGCTTGGTGGGGGGCCTAGTTGCGTGCCTCTCTGATGGCCTTCTCTGACCCCGCACTTCATTGGCTGTGAAGGCTCGTGGTGGATGGTGTGGCACTGTAACATTTTGGTTGCAGTTGATTATTATAGCACATTTGTCGTATGATCGCTGTGCAGTGTGGGATAAGAGTTGGGGGAAAAAATAATAATATTGTTTTCTTCACTGGTTGCATTCTGTGGCCTAAGTTGTGGGTGGCAACTGCCTTATAATGGTGTGTACAGTATGTCCGAATGGACTGGTGATTACTGCATCTGTGTCTCATTATCTTTTTAGAATGGGCCCTGGGGTATGATCCCTGTGCATTGAGAGTGTGTGTGTGTGTGGGTGTGTGTTTGTGGGTGTATGGATGGGTGGGTACGTTTGTGTGTGGGGAGCTGGACTGTTTAACCTGTTATGTGTCATTAGGCTATGTATTCGTGTGTTTACTTGTAATGTTACTCTTCTTTTGCTTTCATTCTGAGTCTTCTCAAGACAGATCTCTCAAGTTCTTGGGTTTGTCCATTGCCCTGGCAATTGACTCTCTGTATGCCTGTAAAATTGTCCTCCCCGTTTTGTCCTTTGTGTCACTGTTTCACTTGTTTTGTTATTTCATGAATAAAAGGAAAATAAATAAATAAAAAATAAGTAAATCAACAAACTTATCTGGACTTTTTATTTTATTTTGATATGAACGAGTCACAGTTACAGGCCCTCGTACTCTCCCTGTGGCGTTCTTCAGTCTCAGCCTCGACCATAACCGTGTCACATAACAGTAAGGCACTCAGCCCGACCGATTAATCCGCCAGCCAACAATATGGGCGAATATTAACATATCAAGTGACTGTCAGTAATGGCTAATTATATAGCAGATATTACTAGATTTATTCACCAGTCAAATTACAGTATTACACTAGCAGTTCTCTTTCTGGCTGTCACCAGCAGAGGGCGCTGTACAGATTACAACAAGCATTATCACTCTCCAGAGTGTCAACGATGAGGCACATACATGCGCAGTCACTTTCCAGTTGAGTGTTTTGTCTTCATTATATATTTGAGGGATCAACTTAATGAATGTGTCTATCGTTATCTCTCTCTCTCTCTCTAAACAGATCAAACACAGATATTAGAAAGACATCGGACAATATATTGGTCTCTAGTTTTTTTTTTCTCAAAGCGATATTGGCCCCAACAATTTTGTAGCGATCAGGACCTATCACTCACATAAAACAAACAACTGAGAACACACAGATGTAATCCTGCAGACAAATCATTACAGAAACATGAAATTAACCCAACACATTTAAAGCTCCAGCATGTTGATGAGAAGATGTAGAAAAAAACTACAAACTTTTTCTACCAATTACCTTCCAACAATTTCATTATTCTTTATTTTTATTTTTATGAACGCTTGAAAGAACACCCGCTCTTTGCTCAGTGCATGATGACACTTCTTCCTGCGCACCATGACCAGGTCCAAACAATGAAACTTCAAAAAGTATTTTCAGCCTTACGAAACTCTTCCAGAAAGAAGAACTGCAGCTGATGTTATCTTCCTGTCTGTAAAACCCAACCGCACACACTGTGACCACGATTCTCCTCCTGCCTGTCACTTAAGGTGTGCATTAAAGAAAATCTGAAACCTGGTCAAATAATGGAGGAACAGCTGACATACACGACGGTGACTTTCAAGGCTAGAAATGAGGTTTCTACACTTGGTGAGTCATGTTTGTTTGTGATTTATAGAGCACAGCCTGCACTATGATAACTTAAATGTGCTAATAGGTGACGTGAGAACAGTCTGTTCAATGAACCCAGAGCTGTATGCAGTATAAGTACATTTACTTATGTATTTCATGATTGATTTGAGGTAGTTCTGTTGTGCTTAAGTGTTTCTGTTTCTGCTGATTTACAACATTTTGAGCAGAAAAAAATGATGTTGTAATCCACTTTACTTTTTGTTGTTGCTGGTTATCATTTACAAACTTTTTTCAGCTGTTTTCACAGTAGTTGCATCAACATTAATGATCATCTGATTTTAAATAATCTAAACTTAGAGTGTTTTTGTTCCGCTCCAAATGATTAACATTTAGACTTGATTTATGATGCACCTTTATACACTCCTGCAGCCAACAATACATCACCTATAGCAACACAGAGACAGACAATAAGCATAAATGACAACAGAAGATAACAGAGATGCTGCAGAATATATGTATACTTGTGTTTTTGATTCCTTGGCTTGAATACATTTAATTTTAAATACTTAAAGAAACTCTTATGTGAAAGCAGGACTTGAGAAGGTGTATTTCCTCCCCTAAGAATCTGAACACTTCTTCTTTTATTACTGTGATCTGAGGTTGATACTCGACATGTACCTGCAGACATATCTTGCAGTCTGTCTTGAATTTAACCCTTTAAGATTTGTTGAAATACAATAGCTTTTGTTATTTTTACACTCTAATCTGATATATTATATTTAAATGATATAAATATTTAAATCCTTTATTTTACCCTGACAGGATGAATAGATGAAATTGTCTCTTTATATGTTTGCGGGTTTAAAAAATAAGAAGAAAGTTTAGCACTGACATATTTCTGTATCTTTAGTATTTTTTTGTAAATGTCAGGTTTTGCAGTAGTCAGGGGCGGAGCCAGGGGTGGACAGGGCCACCCTGGAAATCTGATTGGCCACCCAAATAATCCTGAACAATGATGGATTATTTGCCTTATGTTTAAATCAACCTTTTGGGCTGTGTAACAACAGGCTGCTTGTAGCTTCCTTTTCATTCCAATATAGCACCTTTTTATTCTATCACTTTAAATTGTGACTTTGGGGGCGCTGATGGTGCAGCAGTTTCCTACTCCTCACTGTCTGATCAAATAAAGTCAAAAGCACAAAAATAAATCTTTAAAAAATGTTTTTGACTTTGGACATAAATCTTTTTGAGTACTTAAAGAATGAAGATTTAAATATTAGCCTACAACTACTCTTTTTAATGTTTAAAAAAAAAGTATACACAGGTATATTACATCTATTAGATACTGTAATCTAAGTAGATATGATGTGGTGGAGAAAGAAACTAGAAAAAAATGCTATTTAATGCAGTTCGACCACACAAGGTGACATACATCTGGCCCCACCACTTGCAGTATATAGTTCATTATGGCTCTGAACGTGTTCTCTCTCAGTAATTCCTGTAGTAAACCAGGAAGCAATTTATGAAAGTGGCAAAATTATTAATTTCCCTTTTTTTTTCTTTTTTTTTTGCAGAGAAACCAAATGAGCTGGAAATAATCTATGATGAAATCAAAGTTAAGGAGCAGACAGGTCCTTCCATTCTAGCTCATTAGTTTTCATCATTACACTTTTATTTTAAAGATGTGTTAATAATTTGCATAAATTACATTTATTGAAAACAAAAATGTTCCTTCTCCTTCTTGTTAGGAAGAAGGAAAGCTTGGCTGTGTCCTCCGTCTCATCTCGTGGCTGCAGCTTTGGGGATCATTTGTGTCGTCTTGGCATCATACATCATCATCCTCAAAATCCAATGTATGTTATATCTATCTGTTTTCAACGACTGTGAAGGCTGAGCGACAGTAAAAGATGAATGTAGCAGTAACAATCTCATCCCTTATTTCAGTCTACACGATCATGTCGGATCAGCTCAGAGAAAAAAACAACCTAACAGCTCGGAATCAGCAGCTGTGGTCCGAGAAGGACGACCTACAGAGAAAAACACAAGAGCTGACCAGAGAGAGAGACGGACTCAACTGGACCCTAGGAGTCATCATGGAGTACGAGACGTTTCCAGTGAATGCCTTCTGCCTACGGAATGGTAAAAACATAGGACATATGGTCATAGAGAGCTTCTGTTGTGAATTTCACTAAAAGCAACAGATCCTTCAGCAGGAAATATCTGCATTATTATTATATTTTCTACAGCAAAGAGTCCCAAGGAGAGATACATTTCACTTTTCAGAAAACATTTTCTAAACATGAACAAGATAGACAAAGAGGTACTACTTACGGCTTTGTCGGGGGGGGGGGCGCTGAACAGCTTGTTCTGCAAATTACGCGCTAGTTCCCCGATATAAAACTTCAAGCTTCAAGCCTCTATAAGCCGTTGACAAGCTTACACAAACTCTTTTCCCCCCCAGCTCTGGAGAGCATCCCACCCCTCTTCCTCCAGAAGGCTTCCAGAGAGCGGGCCAATCAGAAGAGAGTGGGCATGTGGGAAGGGGGGCCTTAAAGAGACAGCAGCCGAAATTAACCGTTTCAGGCAGGGTCTGCAACAAGGGTTTTCCTGACGCCAGTATCAGATAAATAAGGAGTTTTTGCAAATCATGCAAAACTGACTGACAAGATGAAAGGTGAAAATGAGGATAATATGATAAATTTAAGTGCATCTATCTATTCCATCTAAATAAACCTGGACTTTAAAATTCCTGAAGCTTCTTAAAAGGTTTCTCCAGATCCACCTGTTGCAGTGTTGTTGTACTCAAAATCATTCTTGGTCTTATGACCGGTCTCGCAGTCACTTTTTGAAGGTCTCAGTCTTGTCTTGGAATCGAAAGCATTTTTACTCACTCTTGTCTCGGGCTGGGCAGACTCCGAATTTTAAATCATGACCACCAATGTGATTCGAGGAAAAGCTGCTTTCTATAACAACAAATAACATTAATAATAACTTCAATTCATTGGTCATTTGATTTTTATCCCCTGGTTACGGCCGCAACCTTCCTAATGTAACTGTACAAGTGAGTGACACACTCCCTGCACACAAGATGTTAATTTTTCAGTGATATTTATGTTCTTGGTCTTGACTTGGTCTCGCTCAACCCCTAGATGTCTTGTCTCAGTCTCAGAGCCCTCTGGTCTTGGTTATGTCTTTTTCTGGGTTACTGTGGTCTTGACTACCACACTAAACTGTTCTTTCTATTCTAAGCACTTTTGTTGGACCTAGGGGATTCCAAGAAGCATTTTTTTGTAAATATTTATACTAGTTAATTTTGTTATATGTATGATACCATGGTAATGATTGTGTTGTCTTGCTCTTTTTTACAGTGTGTGAACCTTGTCTGGACAACTGGGTGCTGTTTCAGTCAAACTGTTATCTGTTTAGGAATTCTGAAAGTTCCTGGAAATGGAATACCTGGATTAAGAGTCAAGAAGAATGCCAAAAATGGATTGCAGATCTGGTGGTGATAGAAAGCCAGGAAGAACAGGCAAGACTGACTCAGTTTGACTTAATCAGTGACTAAACAAGATTTTTGTGTTTCTTATCCTTTCTGCTGATTTTCATTTATGTTTCCTTCATCTGTAACTTTCATTCAAACATTTATTTGAAAGAAGAGACACTGAACAAATGTTGTTCCATTCAGGAATTCATCAATAACCACACAGAGGTGTATAATGATGACAACCACGGCTACTGGATTGGCTTGAGAAAAGAGGATTGGACGGAGTCCTGGATGTGGTTAGATGGAAGCAACCTTACTGCGGTGTAAGTTCAAGCGCTTAAAGCTCAGTGAATCATGAAGTAAATAACCTGACACATTATAAACCATCCAAATGTGATGCATTTTTCGATCACCATGTTGTAGACCAGTGGTTCCCCAACTTCTTCCGACGAGCCCCCCTTTCGTAGATGAAAATATATTCAACCCCCACCACCCCTCACCATGCACATCAACACATAAACATATAGATATAGACTAAACACACTGTCAATCAGGCCCATATATTAGAAATGATCTCAGACGTCTGTATTAAGTACAGAATATCAACTTCAGTGTGACAAGAAACTGAAAAAAACTAACAAGCGCCTTTTAAAGAGGAAGATGACAAGTGATGCTGTAACTTGTAACTTGCTTAATCGAAATTGGATTCTGTAAAAAAAATCCACCTCAGAACGTCTTCCAGAGGATGAAAGCCTTGTTATTTTTCATCAGGTATTGGAGGGAACAACCAGCTAACAACAGACTGAATTGTGCTTTAACCTCGCCGCATGGAGATCCCCTCGCCAAGTGGCGGAAAACAAGCTGTGATATGCGGAACCGCTACATCTGTGAAACCAGAGCCTTGATCAAACAGGACGAAGAAGAAGCAGCGTTCGCTTAGAGATTTCAATTTATAAGAAAGTTTTACAACTTTTTTTTAACTCAAAGCTAAAAAGCATACTGTTGTAGTCTGTCCGTTCTCCTGTTTTCTTTTTAAATAAAGATGTAAACACATGTTCTATTCTTCTCGTCTTTGTTTTGCTCAGGTGTTCATTCGGCTCTCTGTTTTGGTGTCATAGTTTGTGAAACTGCTCTACATTATACTGACAGGTCTTTGGAATATTATGTTGCACTCATGCATGTCAATAGGAAGGACTAAACAGTTACAAACAACTCTCAGTTTTACTGATAAAAGTCACAAGTAATCAGCGGTGAAGATAGAAATTCACTAAACCCAAAATATACAGAATACACAAATATTTATAAACAATACAGTTAAATAATGCAAAAAAAAAAAAAAAAATACAATAATAAGCCTCGTTTCCACCAAGCAGTCCGGTTCAGTCCGGTTCGGTACGGTACTCATTTATTGGCGTTTCCATCGTCAAAAGTTGGGAATGGTACAAAAAACAAGGGATCTGTACCGTCTTACTTTTTTGGTTCCGTTCTTCTTCTTCGTTGAACTTAATTAATAGCGGGCTGGACTGTGTTGGGCTGCTATAATGTCACACAAAAAACATAGCTGACGCGGCTATGTCCATCTGGTTGACACGCCGCATACCAAATAAGGGTACGTTTGGCTGTGGAAACGCAAGCAAGACCAGGGTTTACCATATCAAACTGTACCAAACTGTACTGAACCAAACCGGACTGCTTGGTGGAAACGGGGCTTAAGGGTAAAAGGTTCTGAGCTTATACTGATGGATGATGCAGTTAGTGTTGTTTTTTTAAATTGAGATCACTGTTAGTTTTTTCCATAGCAGCAGCTATTCTTCAGGCATCTTGAGAGTCAGTGCAACAAGCTGCTGCTGTTGAGATCAAGTCATTGTCTATGACTTTGTTCATGCAGAAGACTCAAAAAAGACAAAGCGGGGGAAAAGTGGGACTGACTACCCAGAGCCCCAATAAAGGAAGAGAAGGGTAGGGGCCGTTATTGGGCCTGAAATGAATCATTTTAGTTCTGATACTCAGCTCTTTCTTAAATCAGAAATTTAAATGGTGAAAACCTTCGAGATGCTTTAAAGCAATCATTGTTTTTGTTAAACTGCTATAGAGTTTTTACATATGCAACACAAAGTTTAAGTTTTGACACCCTTCATTTTAAGCTGTTAATGGCTCACGTGTAGCTTTAGCATCATCGTAGGGTTAACTGAAGCTTTGGGGTTAGGGCGCCAATACCCTCGTGGTTATGATGCATGCACCATATACGGAGGAGATAGTCCTCAGCGCAGACCTCGATACTTTACTGCATGGCCTCCCCCACTCTCTGCTCACAACATTTCCTGTCTCTCTTCATCTGACTTATCTAATGAAGACAAAAAAAATAAAGCTTTGGTGTTTAGAGGCGCAATCAGATCTTTGCATGTGGCCCAGGTGATACTGCTGACGCATCTGTTCAGCAGCTTAGTTTCACAAAAAGAGAAAGACTGAATCTATGTTTAAAGTTTGTACTTTTCTTGACCATGTGCATGCACAGATACTTTCCTACGAATCACGTGTTTGTTGGTGCTGACTTTGAACGACGCAGCCTCACTTAGCCACAATCAAATCCACAATTAAGATCAAATGAATAAATAGATAAGAATTTGTCAGAATATTAAGTGGACTTTTAGAGAAAAGGCAACCATGATTTAAAAAAAAATTGTAAAAAAGATGTTTAAATAATGAAAATGTTGAGGATGCATCTTTATTCTTGATGGAAACATTGAAGCTGCATCCTCGACATGCTGTACAAAATGACAGTAAGATGCTCTGTGGAGTTAAGGGAATAAAAATCTGCTCAGCACTTTTAATCTTTTTTGTTTTTACTTTTAAAATCTTAATGCCTGAGTTTGTTACTGAAAATGATCTGGTCGCTGTGGGGACACGACAGCTCCTCCCCCTAAATCAATTTGTCAGTTCCTGCTATTGCAGCATTATGTACATTTGTTTAAATGCAGAACCACGGGAACTTCCGAGACGACACGTGTTGATGAAATTGATGACCACAGAGCAACAATACTAAACCAAACTGTTGAGTTGAAAATGTCCTATGTTACTTCTATAGGTTCAGAAAGAGGAACTTGTCTCTGGTTTTCTTTGTGGTTTTCTGTGAATAAATGTGACTGTCAAAGCCTTCTGTCATTCTCAGAAGAGAGCATTAATGAGAGACTGGTAAGGATGGAGGAAGAAAATAATTATTCTACGGTAGTGTTTAATCATAGTGGCTCCCCTGGAAAAGGTACGTTTTATTTATTTAACTTTTTTAAGTTTAACTGACTCCAAAGCTTATTTCACTCTGACTAGTTTCACAGAAAAAAAAAGTTGGTTTCATCTTTTGACTAGAACACATGCTTACAGCCGGCTTTGTTTGGAAGTTTCACATTGTTCAATCCAGTTGTTAAAAATAAACAAATTAATAAATGGAGATTTCTGAGCCATGATTAGTGGTGTAGTGGTGCCTAAAGAAGTAGACTCTTCACTTTTCCCCAAAATGTTTTTTTAAGTGACTCGTCCAGCAGAGGAAAAACAGTCTCTGTTATAAATAGTGACATGTACATATTTAGTTTGTGTTTACTAGCCACTTAGAGACGGAGTAAGGAGAGTCATCCCTTCACCATCAGGGGAAAAAAATTGCAGCATACTACTTAATACTGTCAATCAATCAATGGTGTAATCAAAGGAGATTTAGAACTCTATGCAGACTGACAAATAAACTCTGTGTACCTGCGTATACCCTGCACTATACACCACTGGCCATGATACAAAAAATGGCAATCTTTTGCTGTTTTGCAGTTTGTCCACAATTTCCTGTGAAAACAGACCAATCTGAATAAGTTTTTAATCAGAGGCTGCATGCTCCAAAAGATGTTGGTGTTTCATCTCCTCCTACATCAACAGAAATACACGCTGGTGTCTAAAGAGATAAAACAGTGTCAGAAAAAAAAATCTCCTCTTCAAGACGGTAAAAAGTGAGGAACCTCCAAAGGATCACAATCTGAAACCTGTCGTCTTTTATTAATAAATCTAAAAATGTTTTAGGCAGCTTCATGTGTTTCATGTCTTTTTGTCATTTACATGTAATGAGCACTTCCTACGGACAGGATTCTAGGCCAGGTGGAAGCACAGTCAAGAGAAACAATTAAATACTTTCATTAGGGAAGGAAGTGGCTTAATATTTCTGGACCATGTGACTCAAAATGTTGAAAAAACAAAATGTAATAAAACCCAAAATGTAATAACTGGTCAATAATGTAACAAGATGCTGAGCCCAAAACATAATAACTTTTTCCCTTAATATTTCTCTCCTAATAGTGTAATAATTGTATAACATCATAGCGTGAGGCAATCATATACAGTATGGGGGACGGGGGGTATTTGTGTATGATACTCTACAGTTACTACATTTTGGGTCATTGTTACATTTCCGGCTCTTAAGGCTGAAGGATCTGTTTACAGTCGTAGCTTTCAAAATGAATCATCATAGTTACACAACTCTTTAATAGTGAGCAAAAGTGTCTGGGGGTAATTGGGCCCCTGCATTGAGTAATATGCTGAAATCACTTGTTGTGTTGCATCCGGGAAGAACAAGAAGAACCTGAAATGATCGACAATGAAGTAAATCTATCACAGCATTAATAAGCTCTGTATTATGCCCCCTTCTGTCTACATGGGAAGTAAAAACTACATACTGTCATTCAATTTTTCATCTAGAGAATAAAGAGGAATCGACAATTTATTCAGTGGTGAAACCTAAAGAGCCCACAGCTGCAATATCAAGTAAGTCATAAAACCTGTTGTTTTCTTTTTCCAATACACCACAGAACATGCTGTGATTATGGGGGGTGGGGTGGTCGTGTGCGCTTACAGCACCCTGTAAGTAACATTTGCTCAGTGATTGAGTTCTACAAAGCCCCTTCAGAAAGTCAGGTTGTAGCTCTCTGAAGTCTGAATCTGTTTCTTTTCCAGAAGTAAGGTACGAGTTCTTCTTGGGACAAGTTTCCCTTTGCACTAAATGACAGTAAATCCTGCTTTCTTCCATTGTTGATGTATGTTCCACTGTGTCTATGAACCTACACAGGAAGTCAGTCAAATGAAAGCTTCTGTGTGATCTCGATGTAGGAGCCCTGTTTAGGAGTTATAAAGTGTAAGACACAAATTGCTGAATTGTTGGAATCTAGCATTTGAAATGGAATGAGAAATACATCTTTCATAAATGAAAAAGATATTTGACTGTCTTATTTCACAGGACGCTCAGGAGCGAAGCCAAGGCAAGCGCATCAATTAATAAATGAGCCCGTCTACATGTACTCTGAAAAAATATATCTCTTCCAAAAAAAGTTTCTCAAGATTAACCTAAAAGAAATCCATCTTTGTCCCTTAAGGGGCTCTGTACATTTCAGTTGTGTTATCCCAAACAGGAAGAGAAAAATATTTAGCCTAAAGTTTATTACAATACAATTTAAAAACGCCTCCTGTTTTACCATAATAACTGATAATTTGATGACGTGATCGTAATTACAGTCATTCTTTAATTATGATCTCTCTAATAACTTGCAGATGTTGAATCAGCTGGACGCTCTAGACTTCATGTGCTGGTGGTGTGTTTGGGGATCCTCTCTGTCCTCCTGGTGACAAGCATCAGTGCTATCATATACAGTAAGTTTCATTCGAACACATGTGAGTCAAACTGAGAACATTCACCTAAACATTTAAAGCAGCTTGATTTATATAAAGTGATGTTGAAATTAGGACTCGACCGATATTGGATTTTTGGGGCTGATATTAGATATTAGGATATTAGGCACTATTAATTTCTCGAGATCTCTTAAAATTTGTATCATTGGGCACTTCGACTTTTGCCAGTCTTCCTTTTTTTTAACATTGGCGTCTGTACTTCTGCATGAGAAAAGGGATGTCCAAGCAGGGAAGTAGTCAGTGTTTTTTTTAGTGTATCAAAAATTGTCTGAATAACCAAAATCTACATTTTTCTCATTGTACTCATTTTAAAAATGGATGCATTTCTTTTTAGCAGCTGATGTGAGTGTTTTGTTTTTTCAAATGGTTCACATGTCAGTCTACTGTGACAACAACATGAAAAGCAATGTGTCTGGATACCTGTCTTAAAAAGGGTCAGGACTAAAGCACGTGTGCATACGGAAAATTATCCTTCTTTGATAAAACCTGCTGCTGCCATTCATCAAAAGATTGTCAAACTGATATGTTCCTCCTTCTTGTTTTCACCATAGTCACTGTGGTAATGAACAAACAGAAAGCAAGCCTCAGCGACCTCAAGGCTGAAATTCAGCAACTGAAAACAGAGAGGGGTGTCTTTGAGAATGAGACACAGAAGCTGAGCAGAGTCACTGACAATCTCAACCGGACGCTGGAAGCCATCCTGAAGTTTGACACCTTCCCAGTAAATGATTTCTGCCCAGAGAAGAGTAAGCGCTCCTTTCTGACCCTAACTATTTATTAACCAAAGAATACAGACAAACGTGAGGCTACAGATACACCATTTTAAAGTACATTAGAATGAATAGATGTACAGGGCAGGTATAAATCTATGTTAATCTGCTTTGCATCCTTTGCCTGCCCTAAGCATGCACTAATATTTATACCCACACGGCGCCATTTTCCACTGATGTCACGATCAGAGTGGGATGCTCAAATGCTGTGATAAAGTCTTGCTGCTGTGTAAGAGGTTTACTAGTTATAGAGATAGTAAGAAAATATGGCTATATTTCAAGTTTTAACTATATTTTGGAAACGTGTTAGCTTCTGTTAGACAAGAGCTATATTTAGCATTCTACCACGTCTGTGCTGACATTACCATTTAAGTTATTTGCAATGTAATTGGATGGTTCACAGTAATGTTAGCTTTAGTTATTTTTGATGTTAGTTAACATTAATATTAGCGAACCAAATTTGTTATGTTAGCCAGCTAACAGTTAGCTCAACGCCAATATTAGCTGTTGTGACTTAGTTTTCAGTAGGCCTGCATGACTTATTGAACTTTGGAGGTGCTGAAATTATAACTATGAATTAGGTTTCCCAACATTTAATATAGGATTAACAACCTTGCCTATCTTCATACAGCGTTTAAGCATTTCCACTCTGAAGATATGAATGAGGAAATTGATCGCCATGAATCTGGAGCACAGTGAATTTAAGAAAGGTTAAAGATGACTGCCTGGTTTACAGGAAATATTGTGAAGCTGTAAGCTGAATAGAAAAAAAACTGAATGTTTTAATAGCCTGAGCAAGTAGATAAAAACTAGTTTATTTAAAAAAGACACAAAAGGCATTGTGAAGTTGAACCAGTAGACCTACAGTTACAAGTAAAATGGATGAAAGAGAGATTTAACCATCAACCTGTACAATACTCTAAATTTGTCTGATCTTGAATCTTCTTTAATTTGTGTCCTTTGTTCATGAATGCAGAGTGTCAGCCGTGTCCGAAAGGCTGGATTCTGTTCCAGGGAAAGTGTTATCTGTTTTTCAATGGAGAATCCAGAAATTGGAAGCAATGGCAAGAGAGCCGAACATACTGCCAAAACAGAGCTTCAGATCTGGTTGTTATAAGTAGTCTCCAAGAACAGGTGAGCTCAACCACTTGAGTTTTAATTGTCTTATGTCAGATGTAGAATTGAATTCCCAAGAAACAAAACGTTACACTCACATCCATGCAATGTTTTAACATTTTAAAAGTTTTAATTCTCTGTAAAGAATCTCTTGAAGTTTGTGTATATGATAATCAGCCACCGATATGTCTTCCAGGAATTCATCAGCAAGCACATCACATTTTACCATGATAAGTATCATGGCTTCTGGTTGGGATTACATACAGTTGACAACAAAAACTGGAAGTGGGTGGATGGACGTAATGACACTTTAGGGTAAGAACGCTTAAAGAAAGTCACAGCACATCACTAATGTCAGCCTCATGTTCATCCAGTCTCACAAACTGCTGAGTTTGTTTGCTAGTTGTATAAACTAGAAAATTATTATATTTTAACAACCACTACCATTAGCATTCAACCACTTCCCGGCAAAACTGATCAATTAATACCAGTGTAAAATAAATTAAAAACATAAACTCATAGCTAACAGTCGTTTTAGCTAGCTAGAACAAGTGTTAGCATGTTATTGGTTATTTCTGTCTTACGTCTGCATAGGCTGGGAAATGGTTGAATGTAAACAGTGATATGACTCAGCATGAAGCACATGGCTTATCAAATATATTGTTTTACCTGAAATAGGGACTTTTGCAATTGATTTAATTTTCATTTTTGATCAATTGAGAAGTGCTGATATTTGAACCATTATTTTTAGATGTCATACGTTTTGTAAGATTTCCGACCTGGCTGACAGAGATTCAACAGACATTAGCTTCCCACCTTCAGTGTGATTTCTGTTGTCACCTGATATTATTACCGATATCCATGTTGTTTGTTCAAAGGTACTGGACGACGCTCGGTTCCTCTGGTCCGTGTGGGCTCATGATCCCCCAGAAGAATCTTACAGCAAACTGGGACCCAGCAACATGTGACTTTTTGAACAAATTCATTTGTGAGTGTGAAGCTCTGACTATGTCTGATTGATTTTGAATTAGAGAACAGTTTTGTTTTCTTAAAATATTCTTGCTCTTGCTGTTTGTTCAGGAGTATACTTTTCCAAAACTATCCACTTAATGAAAACTCAAACAGATATTAACATAAAGTATGAATGACTCCTCCCCCACTCTCTCCTCCCAACATTTCCTGTCTCTCTTCAGCCGTCCTATCCAAAAAGAATCCTTTCATAAATATATATAGGCCTAAATATACAATCTAAAGACAAAGTAGTATGTAGCCTCAGTGTAAGTCGTTTTTTTCCACTGCATCGTTTACAACATCCCTTTAATGTTCTCCAAGTTGCACTGAACGATATTAAATTGGTTTAAATAATCAGAAAACTAAATGTATGTTGTTTTCTAGGGCCAATACCCTTCATATTACCACCCTGCTAGGATCCTTTATCGAGAGAGTTGAAGACTATAAATATCTCGGTGTATGGATAGACGACAAACTAACATTCAAATTTCACACTGACAATCTTACTGACAAATTACGACAGAAAATTGGTGACCTTTATAGAAATAAATTAAATTCCCCTATGTTCTGTCGAAAAAAGACCATCAAAGCAGTTTTTCTTTCAGTTTTGGATTATGGTGATGTGGTCTATAGGTATGCCTCTACCACTACACTGAAGCCCTTAGATGCTGTTTATCATTCTGCATTTTGATTCATTACCGGCAATCGCGACATGACTCACCGCTGCATTCTACATGATAAGGTTGCTTGGTCCTCTCTTACTGAGAGATGCAATAACCACTGGCATCTTTTTATCTATAAAGCCCTTACCGGAAAGCTACCATCATACAGTATATCACCTCCTTGTTACATCTGAACCCTGTTCCATCTTTAACCCGCTTGAGTGAGAGGTTCCTCATGCCAGGACTGACCTGGGGAAAACTGCTTTTAGTGTTAGTGCTGCAAACTCTTAAATTTGAGCACTTTCATCCCTTATGGATACATTAGGAATATTCTTTTTAACCGCCCAATACCTGCCTGTTACTGTTTTATTTGATTTTAAATGCTGACTTATCATTGTAGTAATTTCAAGCTTTTTAAATTATGTTGGTTTATTGTTCTTATTGCTCTTTTATTGATTTGATTTTCTGTGGTAGCTTTATCTCATTTTGTTAGTCATTGTTTGCCTTTTATGTATGTTTTATCGGCATCATTGTAAATGAGTCACCCTCAATGACTTCTCCGAGAATTTAAATAAAGGTTGATGATGATGACATAATTCAGTGATGCAATTTATTACATTTGTTACATTTTGTGGTCTATTTGAACAGATATTGAGTTTGCAGGAAGGCTTTAAAATCCCCCAAAAATGGGGGAAATAGTCTGTTTAAGTTGTGTGTATAAACACTCACAAGAGCTCTGATCCAATCCAACTTTATTTATAGAGCACATTTTTTATTAAATCAATAAAAAAAACATGGGAATAAAAAGAGGAAGGAAGCCAAGGAAACTAAAAACACTAGAAAACGGTTCTGTTAAAGAGGTGGGTTTTAAGGGCCCTTTTAAAAGTGTCCGCAGACTGTGGTGCCCTCGGGTGGTCAGGTAGAGCATTCCATAGATAGCAGTCGATAATAATATCTGATATTTTTCAACGAATGAGCTTTATTAAATTAAAACTAAAGTTTTTATAGTGCTTCATAGACTTTTAGAAACTTTATTTTTTCCAGGCACACATTGGTGATCCACTAAAAACAGCTCCACGTCCCACTTTTTGGTCCTGACCCACCAGTTGAGAACCAGTGCTCTAAAAGTATAAGTGTAAACATTTTTAAGCTACCCTTGTAGGAGAAGAACCTTTAATTTCAGCACAGGTTATACCAAGTGAGCGGATGATTTAACAGTAAATACAGTCAGTGGTTATGATTCATAAAAGCACAACAGGAGAGTTCCTGTCTGGTCACTAAAAGTGCAAAGCAGAGGTTTTCATTCAGGCTGCAGGGTTACTGGTGACCTCCTCCAGCAGGGGTTTGTAGAGTTGGGGGTCTTCAGGACTCTAACAGAGAAGAGAGAAGAAAGAGAAAATCATATGAAAAGGTGCAGACACAATCAAATCTGTGAGAATTTCACACATTTACAGAGTGATTACACACATTGACTGTGCATGGTAAATGGACTTGAGCTTGTATAGCACACTTTTACACTGCAGGTCACACCTACACATTCACACCCTGATGGCAGAGGCTGCTATGTAAAGTCTTCATTTGGTTTCATTTGTCCCCATTGCAATAAATACATTGAATATTAATTAGCCCTCAGGCTGCTCTTTTTGCACATCTCCACATTGCACTTTACTAACTTAGTAAAAGTTCCCATTTTGGGTTGACCTCTTGACTGATTTTACTGCAATGTTTTATATCGTTTCATATTGTGTTGTGTTGTCTGATTGTTTAACTTTCTTTTTTTGATTTTGATTTTAGGGTGATGTTGTCCTTGTATGTGTTGTCTTCTGTGTGCTGCAAAAACAAAATTCCCCCATGTGGGACAATAAAGAATCTGAATGTGTAGACTCTACCTTGTTCTTCTCTCTCTTCTGAATGAAGCAAAGAGCCTTGATCCCCAAGACAGCAGAGCTGATGACCACACAGAACTCCAGGACGGACAGAACAATCAGCACGGCGTTGATGCTTCTCAAAAGCATCTGATGGGACACAAAAGAAACAGTGACGCGTTTAAAAGCTGTGAATATCTGTAGGAAGCTTCTGACAAACTCATTTTGAGAGTTTCTTCATAGTCAACTTGTTTTAAGTCTGTATAATAATCAGCAGCAGTTAACTTTGAAGACAAAAAGGACAATGAAGTGAATATCTGGTCCTTCTGTCTCATTGGTGTCCTTTAAAAGTTCAAGAGATCGTCCACACGAAAAGCAAAACTGACTAATCTGGCTCAAATGAGTTCCACAAAACAGGCAAAAACATCTTTCCATCACCACAAACTCTCTATCACTCCAAATTATTGTCTGCCAAGTCTTCTCACCAAAACAAACAAAATGACCCCTCACTCAATCACTTCCTGGTTACTTCCGGCATTTGGTACGTTCCCTTTCCGTTAAGATTCTGTAAATTGTAAATTTGTTTGGGGACTGGTAAAAGTGTTTCACACTTTGTAATTTTGTTTTGCACTTCCCAGCCACCGTTTGTTTCCATTCCTCAGCGACACACAGCTTGTATTGTCATCGGTCAGATAACATTTCCCCCACACACACATACCAGAGTTATTCCTTTGGCCTCCAAGCATTTAGTCTGATCAGGAGATGGAGTTGTTGAAGTGTGTCGGTCGTAATAATAATTGTAATTATCATTTTCACACATCCACCACAACCAGATGTGTGCAATGTTGATGCTGTAGAGCACGATGGCTGCAATGGAGAAAACAACTCCTGAGAGATTCAGAATCACGTTGAGGATAACCTGTAGAAGAAAAATCTCAATGTATGAACAACCACACATGATGAATGTACAAACTCCTCCTATTTCATGGTCTCTATATGAAGACAGATTAAAAGTTGGCGACTCAATGAAAGCTAACAGGAGGATTTTATAAAGCTGGTTTACTCACCAGGCAGGGACTTGGACGCTTCTCAGACACGATGCTCACGACACCAAATAAAATAAACTAAAGAGAGAAGAGACAAAAACATTTAAACTTCCATTCTTTCACACCAACTCTGATACCCATAAATCACTACTAATATCTTCTACTTTACTGTAATATTAGTCAATCCAAAGATGCAAGGGGAACACTCGAGGAAGCATGTTGTTCAGTTCAATGTTTTATATGCATTCAACTTTTAAGTCAATCATCTGAACAATCCTGGTGTCACCTTGTCCTCTGATCTTAAAGGTTCTTCTTCTCCTGCATGCTACAAATCACGTTGTCAGAATTGGACGATATGACAGCGTTCACAAGCATTCAAAAAGCTCCACAGAAGTAGTTTAGTCTTCTTGCTGATGGTCTGATTTTCTTTCATAGATCATATAGTTCTCAGTTTTAAACTGTACCAACTACTTTATTTATTTATACATGTTTAAGATTTATTTTGGGGCTTTTTGCATTTATTTGATGGAACAGTGGATAGAGTAGTAAACAGGGGGAGAGAGTCGGGAATGACATGCGGGAAAGGAGCAACAGGTCGGACCGGAACACGGGCTGCCTGCTTGGAGGACTGTCTCCTTACATGAGGCGCAGATAGCCTAGCTGTTTGGTTGCTCCCCATGTAAGGAGGATACAACTTCTTTTACCATCTGCTTTCAACAGGTTTAAGATTCAGGATTCATCTCTCAGATAGTAAAACAACTCTCCATACTTTGACCTTTACTCGAGGTTGGAGACGGGGTCGATTGACTGGCCAAAGGATGTAGTGTTTGTTTATCTCAGACACTTGTAGCTTATAGCTAAATGCTAATGTCAGCATGCCAACGCGCTCACAGTTACATTGCAAAGCAGGTCCTGTCCTGTAGGAAGAAAACCGGCAGCTGAATCTCCAACAGAGCAGCCCCAATAAAGTTACTCTAACTTTACTTTAGTTTTGTAAGGGCTTTGGGATGCACATATTTAAATACACACAAAAAACAACAACATAAAAAACAAGTACAACATGAGTTTGCTTACCAGTCCTCCCATCCAAAAGGGAAACTTGGACTCATCCATTTGCCACGAAGAGCCAGACCCAGAGCAGAGGATCGCTCCGAGGCCGATGTTCAGCAAACCAATCATGATTTGCAGAGCCTGATGGGGGAGCAAACACAGTATGAGCGCCACACACCTGTACAGTTTAAAAGTAGTTACCAGGTGTCAAGATTAAAGTCATCTGGAGAACAACACGGAGGGGGGGACAGAGAATCCTGTTAGAGGACCTCTGTCTCATAGTTTCATTGTTTACTCAATGTTCCTATCATATATAAAACAGAACATTACCTGAAGACCCGAGACAGGTACAGAGCCCAGACAGTGTCATGAAAACACTCTGCAAATGAGACTTTGTCCTCATAGCTCTTTTCAGACGTTTTTTTTTAACTCAGCTCAGCGGTCATCACAGTTTTATACATTTGTATTGATTCTGTGACAGCGTAATGTTGGTGTCCCAGTCTGAGACACACACAGCGCTGCGCTCCCCTGCTGGCTCCGCTGAAACCGGCTCGCCTCTGTTACTACCACTAAAGACGGTGGGATCACTTCATCCCCCCATTACACTCCGCAACACTCAGATTGAAGGTGAAACGTCACAGGGGAGTAAATACCGCGGCTCGAAACAGAAATCTGATGAGGGCTTGTGACTTTAATGTGTAGCTTCTGGCATTTCAAACACACAATTTAGTCAGAATTAAATCAGAACTGAGTGGGTGAAGGAAAACGTATGTGTGTACATTTCATAGAGATACTTCAAACATGAGCTTGTTACTTACCCCCAGGACTGACTGAGATGAGCCCTGGAGCTTCTTCAGATGCTGGGACACAGAGCAGCATATAGGGCTGTAACAAAGGCCTTTGAGGATTTGGCATATTGGAGGTAAAACACTTTGGGGGTCCGAGGTCAAAGTGAGCACAGTGACCCCTTCAGCCTTGGTCATGGTCACAGACATCCTGCCTGCTCCGACAGACTGAAAACACAAGAGAGTAACTGCACAATCAGTTTGCTGTTTCTTATTCTTTAAGTTTTAAAATAGTTACAAGCTGAATCTAAATGTCAAAGTAGTCCTCATAATCAGTTTTGCTGAGTGACTGACCTTTTCTTTTGGCTGACATTTATCGTCTCTTCTATTCCCTCTGACCAAAGTTTCACACAGTCAGTGAACTTTTTACACTTTGTCATTGAACCTTGAAGTGATTTTATGAACCTGTAAGTTCTTAGTCTGTGTTCTTAGAGCAGTGATTATCAACTGTAATCTGTAACCCCATAATATAAATTATCTCGGGTGATTAGACAATAAACATAAAAATAAAATCCCAATGCTGAAATACTCGCATTGTGCTTGAAAGCGGACAGGCGTGTAAGCAAGAAAAAAGCTGACTCTTGTACAAATGTAGTTGATGACCCCTGCCTTAGAGGAACTACTGGAAACTTTAGGTTTCAGTACAGATTTAAAGACGGCATATAACATCCCCGTTACCCCTCTGAAACATTGTGTCTGCTGAATGAATTTAGGCTCACAGTTTGCTCGCTCTGTGTCTCTCTACAAAAGTAGTGTGGGAGGCAAAGCCTTCAGTCATCATAGAC